TAGTTTACATTTTATATATAAATAAGTTGATATGGCTTTTAGAGAAAAGGAAGACAGGAACTCCTGCCTTGACAAAGAGGACAACTATTCACTGGTGATATAACTTGTTTTAAACCAGGACATGAGAATTCTGTCTTAAAGTTATTATTCCAGATCCTATCTTTTTTTTAAAAAAAGGAATTTGTGGAGAAAATTAACATTCAGTAATGAATAGATGGTAAAGATGGGTTCACACAACTCGTCTTCTGAAATCAAGTTTACTGAGGATGGAGTTTTAACAGTATTATTGTCTGTTCCAGACCACAGTCTTTATCAGCTTCATCAGTTAGTAGATGTATAAAAGATTGGAAGTTAGAAGATGGGACAGACATCTCAGGGCCCTCCATGTACCTATGCAGGCCTTGCTGTGTCTGTCTTATCAGAGAACCAAATCAAGACTGAAACACTCCATTTCTTACTAGGTGCAGGTAACTCTGAAATCATAACTATGATTTTAAACTGACACCTGTAAAGCCAGTTGGTTCTTGTCTCTACCAAGAGTATTCCTTGCTTAACAGATTTCTTCTTCAGGGCTGCAACTGTCTTCACAGGATAATTGGTTTTCTCAAATCTAGGTCTCTCATAAATGACTAATGTCACAGTCCTAAAGAAAGGCTAACAGCTCCTATTTTTTGCATTTTCTTACCCGTGGTGCCATAACCCAGGAATGAATTTTTTGTTATTAGCCATTTTCAAGACCACCTGGAAGGAAATAGAATGGCAGGGAGGAGGATCAAAGTAGGGAGGTCACTTCCCTTTGCACTAACCCTGGTGAGATGACAGTGAACCAGAAAACGAGAAATGGCTGGGTGGGGGGAATATACTCTGAAGGTAGTGCCCACTGGATTTGCTGACAGTGAATGTGATATGTGAGAGAACGGGAGGTGTCAAGGAGGACTGAAAGGTTTCTCTTGAGCAACTGCAAGAATGGTGTTGCTATCATCCAAGACCTGGGTTTTTATGTGCCAATTGATTTTATTTTTTAATTTTTCTAATAATTTTCTTCAAATACTTGGACATCAAAGCAAATCACAAGGATAGCCCCTTAATCAAATAGGTTGTGGCCTCTGCTATCAAGTTTTAAGAGTCAGATCAGCAAACTAACTTAGACTTAATGTCACAGATTTTTAAAAATCAAAATCAGCATAACTTTGAAGCAGTTTATTGTTGAGAAAAGAATGTAAAAAAGTAGAAATAGCACTTTACCTTTAGCAGAATTATTCTCCATTCCAGATGAAAATCTTTATCAGCTATGTAAGGCCACAGATGTATAAGAGATTGAAAAGAGTTTGGACAGATGTCTCAGGGACCCAGGTACCTCAGCAGGAGGAGAGTATGTTCAACATGTTCCATGTATGATTGAGTATGCTTTTTGTTAAAGCCTTATACATTTAAGAAAAGGAAACAGATTATTTTCTCCTAAGCTGACTAGAGAGCTCATGAAACACTATTTGAGTCACTGAAGCAAAGAAAACCTCAGATACTAACTCATCCAGATACTAACTCATCCAATTGCTGGTTAGGAAAACAATTTGTCATTAAGTTTTTATGTACAGGCGATGCCTGGCATTCAGAATTTCCCCACGTACCACTGCAGCTGGTCACGGTTGACCTCTACAGAGCTTATGTCCAGGAGGGAGTCCTATAGCTTCTCAGTGAGCATAACCAGCTGCCCAGTTCTCCACAGCCCAGCGCCGTTGTGGTGTCTTCACCCATAAGGTGCAGCTCTTCACAAGTTAAAAATTTGGTTTATTTGTTCAAAATACAGAGCCCTAAAAGAAAGTCAGCAGCTGATGCTTAATTTAAAGAAGTGGCTTTTCAGTTACTTTTTACTATATTTGATGGGAGAAAGTATTTGTGATAATGGTATTTGGAGATTCTTGAGGGTCTGAAGACTTGTAAATGTTAACAGTCTTTTGATAAATGAAATGCTTTTTGGGCATGTATGCCCCTTCGGTGTATGCATGTTTGCCTGTGACCAGCAACAGTATCAGAGCATCCAGTTTGAGTTGTTTCAGCTGATCTGCCTAACCTGAATCCCACCCCCCAATGCAAGAACAATCACAATTGACTGATTACAGGGGTCCTATGTCACTCTGGAACTGAGCCTGAGATGTGATCACATGAATTCACAAATATGAGCCAAAGGCAAGTCCAGATTATTCCTGGGCAAAATCTAGACATCCCAGTGGCCTTAGTCATACAGGCTGGTGTTAACAGCAAACTCAGAGTGGTTTCCTGTTCTTCCCATCTTGTCATCAGTTCTAAAAGCTCTTGAGCAGACTTTAGGATTCAGGTTTGAATGTAGCCTTGACTCATCTGGCCAGCTATGCAGTAGTACTGAGCCACAGAGCTGGGATAGATAGAGCAGTCCTCCTTTGCTGTGTGGTCTTACAGGAAATGGCAAGTAAAAAAGTAAAGGGTTAATTACTAGCAGGATTCACTGATGCTGTGCTTCCAAAATATATTTGCATGAAGATTAAGCTGTATTTGTCTATTCTCTAATTTAGCACATTATAAAAAGTAGTAAAGATACTACTACTGTTTTATTTGACTATATTGTGGTGTGCTGTGATTGAATCAGAATAAGTTATTTGTACTTGAGTTTTGTAAATTTATCATTAAAGGACTAGCAGATTATTTTATAAAGCAGCATAGCAATTCTCCTATGGCTTCATTAATTATGGTATCTAGACATAATTAGGCTCTAGCTAAGAATAGCAGACAAAATGGAAAATCATTTGGGGGGAAAAATTAAATTCTGAGAAACTAATATAACATTAGCAGAGGGCATCCGTTGACTGTCAGTCACAACACATAGGACTAATGCATTAACCATCACAGATCAGCAATGGCACCCATGTGGGGTTATCCCCACAGCCAGTTGTTTAGGGATATGTCCCTTCCCTGTGGTTTCCATTTCATATTTCCTGATACTCCATACACAGATAATCTAAAGCATCCTCCATGGTTTAGAAATAGCAGTTTTGATGATTCGAAGTTGATCCACTCACTTTTAAGTAATAGACTTTATTTTTTAGAGCAGTTTTAAGTTATCAGAAAAACTGAACAGGAACTACAAAATTCTCGTATACCTCTTCTCCTCACCTCATGCATACACACAATGTCCCCTATTATTAACATCCTGCATTTTGGGGTGCATTTGGTGTAACTGATGAACTGGTATTAATACATTAGTATTAAAGGTCATAGTTTACATCAGGCTTCCTTCACTGTTTGTGTTGTACAGTCTATAGACTTTGACAAATATGTAATGTCATGGATCCCCCACTACAGTATCATGCAGAATAACTCCCCCACATATTCGCTCTGTTCTACCAATTCATCCTTCCCTACTACACCCCACACTCTTAGCAACTCCTGATCTTTTTACTATCTCTATAGTTTTGTTGTTCGTTCTGTTTTAAGAACTACCCAGCTTTGGAAGCATCATTCATTCTTTTATTCATAAAGTGGTCCCTCAATAAATAGTATGTGCCAGGTAGTATTCTGCACATCAGGATTATGACAGAGGACCAAAAATCAAAAGTCCCAATCTTCACAAAGCTTACTTCTAGTGGCTTGCTTAGAGCCTAAATAGGAATGAAAGAGGACCCATGAGAGCACAGGACGAAAGGAGGTTATTAAAAAGAGTAATATGAAAAAGGGACCTCCTACCAGTTGCCCCCCTTATCTTAGACCAGGCCCACTCCCCAGCATGTTTTCCCCTGCAGTGTGGTCCCAGGAGTTCCACCTGCTGGCCTCCTCCAGAGGCTGCCTGTGTGTTCTCCCTAAAGAGCATCCAAAGCCCATGCCCTTCCCCAACTCCTCCTCTCTCCTGCTGCCTCCGACATAAGTGTAAGCACCTTTTTCAGACTACCATTAAGCTTTCACTGCTAGTTATCTATAGCCCTGCCTAGAGCTAATAAAATACAACAGAAACTTTGCAAAATCATGAGAAATAGGTACCCATAATCATCTAAAGATTATCAAAAATTCTGTCTCCATCTAAAGGGACAAGGCCTTCCCCCTTGCAGAGCAGACAAACCAGAGTTTGTTTTCTTCCCTTCAACCCCTTCTGGGACTGGTAGACATTGTTCCCCGGTCCAGCCATAAGAAGCCCTATTCTTTTTCCTGCCACCTCTTCTATAACCCTAATCCTCCAGAAAGACGAGAGGTTTCTGTGAGTGAGGACAGGCCAGGGAGGTGATGAAAGACTGAAAGATCCATTTCATCCTTGCCAGCTCTGCCTCACAGTCTCCTTTTTGGTTCCTGCAAGAAACATGCCTAAAAGTCAGCTAAATGGACTTCTCGGGAACCCTTCTGAGCACATGCTTAGAGCGGGCCCTGTCGTTTGCTCCTGCTGGTGAAAGCCCATAGTGCACACCTCCTCCCTGCTATATGTCCAACGGCATCATGCTGGTAACCTGAAATTGGCCATGGTGAGGGCATTTACACCACGGATAGGAGTAAACACTACCAATCACCATTTTGCTCATTTTTTTCTTCAAAGAGCTGCTTCACCAGCATGCCAGCGGGCAGACCTTGCTTAGTCAAATTCTTATGCTGATTGTACCACAGACAAACACTGTATTAATTCCTATGTCCTAATTCTACTTTCCATAATTTTAGGGGTGGGGAGGAATACCAAACAAAGTCAACAGGAAATTTGATCCAGTAAGTTTTGAAAACCACACTTAGCATCAAGCTACACAGACCTTGCTCTTACTTTTCATTTCCATTGAGAGAAGGGTTGAGGCAACTCATGAGTAGTTTAGTTTCATCTACGTCATCTTCACTGAACTCTCACAGCAATAGGACTCTAAATTTTTTCCTCTTGTGCGTATCGGACCATAATCATAATTAACATTTCTTTTCCCAGATGACAATTTGCTTGTCTCTGTGTAAGTATTATAATAAGGGGTCACCTGTGCTGACTTATCCTTTTGTGCCCCACGTAGGACTGCACACGCCAGAGCAAAGGCCGACGCTGCCGACCAAGCCGCGCTGGCCGCTCGCCAGGAGTGCGACATCGCGAGAGCTGTGGCCAGGGAGCTGTCACCTGATTTCTACCAACCAGGTAAAACAGTGCTCCTTTGACAGGCAAGGCAGGAGCACTGGCTTTGGTTTGCTTTTCTTTTCTTTTCCTTTCAATGTTAAGAGTCTGTGCTTCCTGAATCCCAGCAATACTATTATGCAAAACAAGCAGGGGCGCGTGTGCTTGAGGATCCTTCATCTGAAATGCTTGGGACCATAAGTGTTTCAGATTTCAGATTTGTTGAGATTTCGATATATTTACATATACATAATGAGATCTCTTGAGGCAGGGACCCAAGTTGAAACACAAAATTCATTTATGTTTCATAGACACCTTATATACACAGCCCAGAGGTAATTTTACATAATATTCTTAATAGTTTTGCACATACAACAAAGTTTTGACTGTGTTTTAACTGTGACCATTGGTCACAAGTGGAATTTTCCACTTGTGGCATCATGTTGGTGCCCAAAACATTTTGGATTCTAGAGCATTTCAGATTTTTGGATTAGGAATGTTCAACTGTAGTAATAAATATCAGCCAAAGTCTGAGCATTAGCCCTGGAGATGGGTTATTCCCCAGGGTATCGCCCTTCCTCCCCCCTACATATGACCAACAGAATTTGAGCTGATAGCAGTAAACTAGACAAGAATCTAAAAGAAGTATCTGACTCTAAGAAATTGTGTTAGTGACAGCCACAGATTCTGCAACAAATACCCCCAAATGCAGAGGCACTTTTAGCAGTCAGAGAAGAGCCAGTCAGTACCGTGATTATTTTTTTTAACGTATCTGAACTAAAGTTCAAAGGAGTGTAGTTAGGAAGTAAAGCAGCATACCACTTAAAGAGATTAATATGCACAGATTAAGAGGAAATGCATGTCATGATGGAAAAAATAAAAGTGACAACCCTAAAAAAAATTGATCTTGGTTATCTGCCTCTCAGATGTTACAAAATAGCAATCAACTAATATTTGCAATAGGTTTAAATACTTAATTCACTTTCTAGTAGTTTCCTAGGAGACTCTCTTTACCCCTTTCTATAATATACTAGTGTGTTTGTTTTTAATTTCAAAAAGGCAATATTCACCTTTTTATATATATTCTCCACTGCTTTCTAAAGAACATCTTTCTAATGATCGTATGAGGCATCAACAGACTTCTAGGTAAAGAAACCAAAATAAATATTCTCAATTTCTATCAAAAGTTACATTTCTTGGTAAAGAATTTTTCCACATTGGTTTTTATTAAATCAAGCTGTATAACTAGCATCCTGTCCCTAGCCCAGCACCCTGCATGAGGTAGCTGTTTGAAAAGTATTTGGTTCTGGTAAGGGGTATACGCTATTGGAACCCACAGGGTATCAGTGAGCCCTAAGAAACAACTAAGTCAAAGTGAACGAAATGGCAAGATTCATAGGAAAGCTAGAAACTTGGGTATAATTGAGGATGGAGCAATGAGAAATGACCTGGAGAATGGGGGCAGGAGGTTCCTGCAAAGAAAGAACACATTAAAAGGTCAGGCAAAGAAGAGTCAGTTTTTATAAGGAAAAGGCTGGGGAGGGACCCAGAATGGTTGTTGAAGGATAGGTATCATCATCATGGAGTGACTTCTCTAAGCGTTCAAGTCCAAAGCAACCACTGAGAAGGGTGTTTTCTTTCACATGCATCTCTTTTAAACCTCTGGTTGAGATTTCAATGATTTAATATATATGCATTTTTTGCAGTGACCTCTGGTAGGAATAAACTCTCTTCTGGTGTGAAATGAACTCATACTTCCCTGATACCTAAATACATTGGCAAATTAGCTATTCAAGGGCATGAGTGCTGGGGAAAGAGTACAGCCACCCAGGAGAGTTTGTTTTCTCCTCCCTAGCAGTGCTGCCACTGCAAAGAACCTGACTGATCAGAAGACACTGGGCTTGAGCAACTTTGAAAGAAAACAAACTCACTGTTGTCTGCAGATGGTAATTTCACAATTCTGTTAATTCTTTTGAGGAATGGGGTCCCTTTAGATTTCTATTAGGTGTTACCAAGAGGTAAATGATACAAAAGATCATCTCGGTTTCCCAGACTGAATGGTTTTAAAAGCCTTTTCTGGTATAAAAGCACTTGAAGGGAAAAAAATATTGTGGGAAAATGTAATTCCACCCTTTTCTTAGCTAAAACAGTTTCATATAAGCAAGCTGTCCATCAGTAATGAATAAATCACAGTAGCATGGACGACAGCAGGTCTATTTGAGACCAGAGCTTGAGGGTGGAGGCTGCAGTCCTCTTTGACCCATAGCCAGCACTTCCTTCAGCAACTGTATAGAAAGCCTTTTCTGTCGAGGGTATTATTGATCTTCTCAAGGGAGCATAACTCATGCTCTCCACTTTGCATGTACAGGGTGAGCAAATCAGATAGACATTTTCAAAAAGGGCTTTCAAGTACTTCTAAATTAGGCTGGCCATTTAATTTACATATCTCAGATATAAAAGCCATCATTGTCTGGAATGCAGTGTTCATGTGTAGAAGTAGTTAACCCTAGAATAAAGGATGCCTGTCATAGCTTACATGTTGAACACTTCCATGGCAAATTACCTATTTTCAGGAGCTGGCAGTATTTGCAGATATTTTCCATCTTAAGCTTACGTTTTTTAGTTTAAAACTGTATTGTTCTATAACTCAGTTAGAAACTAAGGGAAAAAAACATAGCATCTTGATTATAAAAGCGAAAAATGAAAAAAAAGGTTGCTGATAAATTATATGTAGATTAATCAAAATTTTTTTAAATTAAAGAATAACTTTTGTCATTAAAGAAAAAAAATAGCACGTAACATGGCTTTCTCCCTCAAAGGGGTAAGCTCTAATAAACAAAAACCATACAAATGGATATTTGTGAATGTATATATAAATAATTGTGTACATACACAGAAACCTAAATTGCTGTTAGTGGCAGTGACACAGTGAGTCATCCCCCAAGAACTTAGAAGACTGCCCTCTGAGAGTTCAACTCGAAAATGAGTCCCTGAAACTGCATAGAGGTAGATCAGGTGATCCTAAGTAACAAGATGACTTTAAGAACCACAAGATTTCCTTGTAACCTGATTGGATTATTAAAACATCTAAGGAAAAATTGGTCACCAATTTTTATATACCAAGGAAGTATAGATAAAAAGAGTCACAGAGGCAAAAACTGGCAGTGTTCATCCCAACACTGTCCAGAGGAGGAGAAGCCTGAGCCAGAACCTTGGAGGATTGCTCTCACGTTGGCAAGGACATTTCTATTATGGGGAAGGATGCAGGGAACCAGGCCAGCCCAGTGGCATACGGCTTAACTGGCAAGATCATCCTGACTCAGGAAATGGATGCATCAGGCTAGCCCAGCTTGATGCCATTAGATATTTGATTCAGCTCATGCTTCTTTTTCTGATTCCATGTTCACCAGTAACTTTCTAATTTTGGTTGAGCTTTCCATGGAGGTCTGCCAACAAGGAGAACATGTACTGGTGGTATCAGCATGAGTCCCTTGACCTATGTAACATTTACATTGCTTGTTGTAAACTAGTGAATTGGCCTTCTAGGATTGTACATCAGTCTTGTGAGCTTTAGTAACATGGGTCTGCCCCAAGGGATGGCTCTGCTTCAGAATGCTGGTAAAATCAGGTTTCTACGCCAGCAAAGCTGACATAGCCTTTAGATCAGGGGTGTCCAATCTTTTGGCTTCGCTGGTCCACATTGGAAGAAGAATAATTGTCTTGGGCCACACATAAAATACACTAACACTAATGATAGCTGATGAGCTAAAACAAAATCACAAATAAAAAATGTTTTGAGAAAAGTTTACGAATTTGTGTTGGGCCATGGGTTACACAAGCTTGCTTTAGAGGGTGACCACTGAGGAAGCAGGAGGGACAGGGGCACTAGAGGAAGATCAGGAGACTAGATTTGTGGCTCTTTCTCCCACTGTTTCAATTTCTTTTTAGGCTGGGTGTGGTGGCTCATGCCTATAATCCCAGCACTTTGGGAAGCCAAGGCAGGCAGATCATGTGAGGCCAGGAGTTCACCACCAGCCTGGCCAACATGGTAAAACCCTATCTCTACTAAAAATACAAAAATTAGCTGAGCATGGTGGTACATGCCTGTAATCCCAACTACTTGGGAGGCTGAGCCATGAGAATCACTTGAACCCAGAAGGCAGAGGTTGCAGTGAGCCAGGATGGTGCCACTGCACTCCAGCCTCGACCACAGAGCAAGACTCTGTCTCAAAAGAAAAAAAAAAATTTAATTCCTTTTGATCGAGATACTCAATTTGTTTTTAATTTCAAGTGATATTAAGTAGCATGTAAAATTTTTATATTTATTAATGGGGGCAGGGGCTGAGCATGATTTAAAGAAATTAAAACACTGCCCTGGAATGTGGTAAACTTAGTACTTGGAGCCCTCTTCGGAGAGAGCCAGCCTGCTCCTCTGGGTAGCATCGCCAAAAAGGTTTGTCTTCCCATGTTTAAGTGTAAATGTGCTCATATACACAGTCCATCGATTATTTAGAGTGAATTCTTTAGCATAGCTTAATATGGACCAGTGTTAACTAAGTTTGCGTTTCTGGTACGAATTAGAAGACTTTAGAAATCAAAGCGTATCTTCATTACATAATTGTCTAGGCCTATTATTAATATGTCATAGATGTGGTTAAGAAAAGGGAAGCATCCTGGAATAGATGACTTCTATGCTCACCTTCCAAACCCCAAATTCTGAATAAACTTTTTCATTAAAAAGGGAAACTGAATAATCCATTAGTTGACATAAAATTAGTAATTCATGAGTTTGCTGGTTACTCATACCACATATTCATTCTGGTACATTCAGTTTCACAAATGGGCATTGAGTGCCAGCCCAGTGCAAGGTACTGGAAAGGATGTCCCACAGTTTGCAGACCAGAGCACTATGGCTATGGTCACAGAACTGCAGGATTGTTATAGATGGGACTGTGAAGTCCTGTAGGAAGGGAGCATTCTTCCCATACTGAACACAAGTGACCCTGTTATCAGTTACACAATCTTTTTAGACTCTTTTAGTCTGGTCCTCTTTTCATTGATTGTCAAGTCTCCATAGAAAATGTCTAATTTCTACTTAATGACTACTCTTGTTGCTACAAAGCATTTGATACTGACACTGCCCTCACAGACATTTGTTTTGGGCAGTCTTTATGGTGCTCCTGCGGGAGCCAGCCCAGCAAGGCTCACCTCCACAGAACTAGCTGGATACCCTGCTGCCACCATCTGCCATATCTGTTCTGAGCCTTTGTGCCAACTGTAACGAGTAACCTTTGAGTGTTGGTGGATAACAAGCTGAATGTTGTTTCTTTTTTCACATTGTGTGGCAGCCATATCTGTGAGCAGGTGACCTGTATCTGACTTCCTCCCAGTGAGTCTCTAGGGGGAGAAAATCCTTTGGGATTCATAGATACTGTCTATAAAAACAGATGAAAATGCTGACTGCAACAACTATCAACATTTGTCATAATTTCCCTCCCTGGCAGTATTCTGACTAGTCTTTTTAATGAACTGCTGCATCTCATCAACTTTATGTTGCTGGCTTTGCAATGCTGACACACACATTTACTACACAGAACAAGTAGCAGGCACAACATGTGCCTTCCAAGAGAAAATAGTCCAGGAAAAACTTCTGTCTTCTGCATTATATTAAATGTCTTGTTTTAAAAGCATTTAATCTTCCTCTGGAAAATCTAACCATATATCCTCATTTAGTTGGCTAGGCCTTCCATGACTGCAACACATTGGAACCATTTCCAATGGGACATAGTCATGTAAGTCAGTGCTATGTCCACCTCCACTCAACATATTTCTTGCATGCTGTCAAATGCCTATAACCCAGTGCGTTAGAATCACTTGGATCATTTGTTAAACATCAATATTTCTAGGCTTCAATTTATACTTATTAAGATCTCTGGGCATAGCACCTCTAGATACTCTGACAAGCAGCAAGCATAGGTGACTCTGCTTGGAAGTACATTTTTTCTCTTACCCAGATATTTTTTAAATGTGAAAGTTGACACTAAAATGTACTTCTACCATTCTAGTAAATTATTTGATCTCAACATATTTTGAATATCATCAGAAGCCCTATAGATCAATTGGAGTGAGTATACCTAAACTTAGCAGAGTGGGCATGATAATCATCTAAGACGTGCCTTTCTTAATACATTTAGGACAAGAAAACTGTGTCCAAAGAGGTGACACATTAGATTCTAAAGGTTAAAGAAGTGATTAGACTGGTATTTGAGAGTTCATAAATATTGTAAGACATACTTTCAATGGAATCCAGAATTTAGCTTCCTAAGTTCATTAATATAAATTCTTCCAGTAGCCAAATCATTCTCACCTTGACCTATCCATAGGTAGTATAAGTTAAGAGGTAGGGAGAGTTCTATTCACTACTTACTAAAAGCATGTGAAAATAAATTTTGCATTCAAGTATTAAAGTTTTTGCTTTTTCTTCAGATAACTAAAGCACATTCCTTTAAAGGCTGACTTTTAAAAATTATTACTATTAATTTTGGGGGAGCTACCATTATCTAACTGCCTGAGTTTCTGCCAAATAAATGGCTTCTTGTAGCTGCTAATGCTTCCTCAGTCTCATCCTTTGATGATAGCTGTCACTTTTGTTAGAATCTGTCAAAGCAGCTCCCATTTCTGCTTCTAATCTACTTTTTGCTGTAAAGGCTGGTGGTACTGACGGTCACTAGGATACATCTTAATGTTTTTAATGTATATATTGATAAGTCATTGTTGTATTTGTGAAGTACAAAGTGATGTTACAATTTCTTAATACAATATGAAATGATTAAATCAAGCTAATTAACCTATTTATTACCTCAAACAAATGACTTTTTTTTTGTGATGAGGCCATCACAAATATTTAAATCCTAAATTTGTAAGCTATGCTTTAATGGTCTCACATCTTCGAAATGAAATGCATGGGCTTTGTGACAGCTTCATTTCTCAGGGCACAGTTACTCTCTTTTCCCCCCAACTTTGGGAATGTAAAACAAATAATGTTTGCCAGAGTCTATTTTTTCACTCTTTTCTGTATATTTAAGTTAAACATTAGCTTTTAATGTGCCTTAATCTTAACAGACATTGTCAATTTTTCTTTGCAAAAATAACTTGCATTTATTTCTTAGATCGAAGACGTTAAAAGTACTTTGTATTTCGTGTTAACTGGTTCAGCATTAAGTGACTTAAAAGTCCACTGTCTCTAAGACACTTGACTATTTTATCTTTGCACAGTAAATTCACTACCATACCTAGATGGGTATTTTAGTAATGCTATGAAGTCAAATATCAGTAAAGCACAAAGAAAACCAACCGTAGTGAAATTTTGGGTGGAAAAGTGAAGGAAAAGTATGTAAGCATCACACTGCATCAAGATCTATTGGAGAATATACTTTGTCACAGAAGAAGAGGGATTTTGTTAAAATACATCAGCAGTTGATCACAAGGTACTTCTCCATGACAAACCAGTGTCAATGACCCAATGAGTTTTAAAGAGCAGGGATAGATTGGCTAATAGAAAACACCCCTTTTTTGTGCTCATGCTGCTTTGCTTCCTCTAGGTGCTATGTCCATACACACAGCACCAAGAAAGAATTCAGAAACAGAAGGACATCACCTTTTGAATGCTTTCAGTTGCCCCTTTTCATCATTCGAGATACCTTTCACTGGCCTGAGAATTCACACTGCCATTTTGGATGGAGGAATTCAAAGAAAATTGTCAGTTACATAAAGGGAGCGCTTACCCAGTTTAGAAAGCAAGTCTCAATTGTCAATGTGCGATCTTGACAGATTTGGGAACCTTGAATCCCAAGGAGTGGATATATCTTCTAGAAGGTGGAAACTGTGATAATACTATTATGTTTTGTGCCCTGAATATAACTTGCAGTGGTGGGTGCTCAGGAATTCTTGTCGCTGGCTTTAAAATATTACATGTTGCATCATGTTTTTTCTTAAAACAGACATGAAAGCTATGTGATTTTTTTTCTTTCTCAGCTGCTATAGCTGTTTCCATTTCAGTAAAATAGGGATAATAACACCTACTCCCTAAAATTTTGGTGAGGCTTTACATTTTGGAAAATTCTTTGTATGATTAAATAGCAGTCTCATTACAATAACTTATTACTCAGACCACCACAAAAAAGAGCAATTGAAAGTATAAGTATGCAGTATGTATTTTCATAATTAAGGATAATTGGTGTTCAGCCCCTCTGTAAATCTTTTAGTGAGTTTATCTGGGGTTGAGGGTGGAAGACAGGAAGGAAAATGAACAGATGCAGTGCTGTGGAATTGACAAGAGCCTGTCAGCTCTCTATAAGCATGTCGGTGGGAACAGTGTCTTCCATGTATACTCGAGAGATTACTGTCAGCTTCTGCCCATTTGCAAGGAAGAGGGCCAACTGCGTTGCATGTGACCTTGACCTCACCTTCCGAGGAGACAAGTGGCAGATGGGTGGAGTGGTAGCCAAAGTATGCACATGACTTGCTGAGAGCTGAAGGCCCTAGAAGTCTGAGGACTCTGTTGCAGCCCCAGAGCCACCCCTTTCTGGACCACAGGCCTCCTTGAGTTCCCAGGGCCTGGACATCTTGTGGCACATATCCTGTTTCTTTACAGCCCACTCCCCACAAAATCACAATGCAGCAGGGACACTTTTTTTGCTGTTTTTATTTTTTCATTTTTTTCTCCTCTCTTAGAAGAATAGCCACTTTTTTAATGAAAATTTGTTCCCATTTATATTAAAAAAAAAAAAAAAAAAAAAAAAAAAAAAAAACCATGATTTTTATAAACAATCCTGAGGTATATAAAAAAGGGGAAAAAAAATCCTGAAGCAACAGAACCAGACAACTGCCTTGTCTAGACTTTGATACCTAGAAAACACGGCTTGTGCAAATCCATGTTTTCCATAGCTGTGAATGGCTACATGGAAGTGACTTTGTGTAGTGCAACCTAAGCCTCAGAAGCTGTTTTAATGAGTGTTTGATGACAGATCATTAAAAATGTTATCTACAGGTTCTCCCCTTACAGTGTACTTTTTAAAATTTTCACACACATATAGTAGTCAGCTTATTTCCTTATACAGGTATACACTTCCTATGTCTTAGTTATACCACATAATTTGAATAAGCAGATTAATTATGATATTGCGACCAGTGTTCCATCAACATGAATTTTGTCTCTGTATTCTGCAAGGAGGCAGAAAGAATGTAATTATTAGGGAAGCCAGAACTGTCTATATTCTGTATTATCTTAAAGCAGCCTTTCCATAATAAATAAACTTTTCCCCTAGAAAATGAAATGTGTACTTAGTCAAAGACTTACGAATATATCTTTTTAAAATAGAAAAGGTTAATCTGATTTAGCAAAATATATACAAAGTACAGACCTTTGTACTTTTTATCACCACCTTCCTCTTTTTTTAATTTTTTTGGCAGGCCCTGATTATGTCAAACAGAGATTTCAGGAAGGTGTAGATGCTAAAGAAAATCCAGAAGAAAAGGTACCAGAAAAGCCACCTACACCAAAGGAATCTCCTCATTTTTATCGCAAAGGCACGACACCCCCAAGATCTCCTGAGACAAGTCCCATGCACAGCCACTCTCCCACTTCCTCCCCAAAGCCCGTGAAGAAGCAAAACCCCAGCTCAGGGGCGAGACTCAACCAAGACAAAAGGAGTGTGGCTGATGAGCAGGTGATGGCCATTGTCAATAAGCCCTTGATGTCAAAGGCTCCGACGAAGGAGGCAGGAGCGGCTGTGCCCCAGTCCAAGTACTCTGGCCGCCATCACATCCCTAACCCCAGTAATGGGGAGCTGCATTCTCAGTATCACGGCTACTACGTGAAGCTGAATGCCCCCCAGCACCCTCCAGTAGATGTGGAGGACGGCGATGGATCTAGCCAGTCTTCCTCAGCACTGGTGCACAAGCCATCCGCTAACAAGTGGAGTCCCTCCAAATCTGTGACAAAACCAGTTGCCAAAGAAAGCAAAGCTGAGCCAAAAGCTAAGAAGTCTGAACTTGCTATACCAAAGAATCCAGCAAGCAATGATTCATGTCCTGCTTTGGAAAAAGAAGCCAATTCAGTAAGTCCTACAAGTACTGTTTTTCTCTGTCTTCCCTTTGGTTCTTTCAGCGAGCTATGTGAGGTCACTGTGCATCTTGATCACAGCCAAGCTAACCAGGGTTCTAGGAGCACAGGGTTGTTCAGAGCAGCACGTAAGACATTTGTACCTTGAGACAGTAAAGAGCTCTCCAGGCAGAAATTCGCCCCACCATCCCTGTGTTCACTCAGCCCCACTATAGATGTAATTCAGGTAGGTAAGACCTGACCAGCTTAGCACAGCATCTTAGCACGTTTTAGCAAGGCTTTAACAGTGTGCCTTGGTGAGCTTCCTGGTAGCTTGCTCTCTGATTGCTAGAAAGGAATCATGACCCCTGCCAAGAGCCAGCCACTCTCAGAACTCTAGGAAAAGGGTGCCACCAAGTTCTTAGCCCTCCTGTTTTCCCCACAGTGGTTAACATCTTTACACAAAAGAAAGTCTCCTCTAGCCTTTGTGAATTCTTCTCATACATGTCTAGTTTAGATTTTCATCAGCCAGGCTTCGCAGCTCGAACATTTTTCTTTCCCAAAAGAGAACTAAAAATTTCCAACAGTTCAAGAGAATTTCTTTGGTCTTCTGTCTTCAATGTGTGAGAACTCTTACAATTTCATTTTTCTGGTAGATGCAGGTTATTAGTATCAATTAATCTTGAGCATTTAAGATATTTATTATTCAGCCACAAAAGCTCTGTGTTAACGAAAAATCTTTATATACCCTCTTTCAAATGAGATTTTTTGAATAATATATGCAATTAGTATTTTATCAATTTCTATAGAGTTTATAAAATTTGAAGCTAACTAATTATTGATTAAAAAATTAATCAGTGACCTCTTGAGCTGGTCACATCCCTTTAGAACAGAGGTGTTAAACGTTGCACACCTAGTGTTCACTAGTAATTACAGAGACCTATTTGCATAATGGTGTGAACTAGTATCTTGGCCAACAATATAGCACAGCCATCAGTTTCTTATTTTTGTCTGTTTATTCACAGGATTAAACAATTAAAATTTCTCTGTTCAATTGACTTACGCTTGAAATTTCTTAAGTGCGTTTATTTTGTTAATATCTATAAAACACTAGTTCTGGTTCTCTTCTTTTTCAAATTTTCAACTTTTTAATTAGCCAAACATAAATTATTCAGATTAACTCGGCTAACTTCCTTAAAGTCCACCTACATGGAGAAAAATTATTTTCAAAACAGACTAACTTTAAGACTCTGACTCTTCAGTAAGCATTCATTTTAAAGATTTTTTTTATCCTTAATATGTCAGTATCTTGATATTATAACTATAATAACCACTGTTGAATTCGTTAAATGTAATGGTTACTTCTCATTTAACTTTCAGCATGTTTATCCTCAGGTTAATAAGGCCTCGCATATATCAATATTAGTTTGCCTGATTTACAAGGTGGAAAATTCAAACAATGCAAGGCCATGTTTTTTACACCTTGGGTAGCCATTTGTGGGCTTTTTAGTTGACTTCTAGGGGAAGCATATGCCCCAGTGTCCTATGCATCAGGCTGTGATAGGAGGAAAAAATGTCGAATTACCCAGCTCTTACCTGGAAGAGGCTCTCTGTAAAGCAGTAGTATATGTATGTTTGATAAATTCACAGCCTCTTAACTTAGAAAAAAAAATCTGTTTTACTTATGTGCAGAATCCTCTGATACTTTCAGTAAGCCAAGCATACTCCATGACAGTAGTTGGTCCTTAGGGTTCCCCTCTACACCCCAAGGGGGAAAGGAGACCCCGGCAGGTCCACAGCCACCCTGAGCTTTAGACTGCCTCTGCAAAATTCAAGATTGACTCGACACCTTCATGTGGTTCTAACAATTAACACTGTCTTCCTAATAGTATAATAGAAAGCTGCCTTCCCTACTCCAGAGAGTTAGGAAGTGACACAGTCATCATAAAGGTTGTCAGTGGATGACCTTTAAGACAGCGGAGTACTACATACGGTTTTGAGAAAAAGACACTGTATAAGTTAGACATTTGTAAATAATTTTAAAATTCACGGGATTGAACTTTATTGCCACACTTCCTTGGTTCAAGTCTCAGTTCTGTTGCTTACCAGCTGTGTGACCCTGGACAGTTTACTAATTGCTTTGTGCCTTGGTTTCCTCATCTGTACCTGTCTCAGGGTTGTTGTGAAGATTAAATGAGTTAATACTTTAGAAGTTCTTAGCATAGTGCCTAGCACAGAATAAGTGCTCAAAAAACATTGGCTATTATAATGATGTTTGTTTCAACACAATGCTACTTGAAGCATAAGCAGTTGAGAAATACTCAAATAGATTTGATCCATCCTCAGGATCACCCTGGATATTGATCTCCTGGACATACAGAAAATCTCCTGGGACACAAACTAACACAGGAAATTAGTTAACTTGAGTATGAGAGGTAGGAGAAGGGAGGCTATGGCATTGATTTCTTCCTTGAGGAATATTTTCCTCAAGAAACTTCTGTGACCCCTGTGGGCAATGTTTGCAATATGGACTCAGTCCTAGGGGCACACATCTATGTGATCCTGAGATTTTTGTAGGTTTTTTGCCATATGACAACTCTGGTAGGATCAGAGGAGGCATCTTTAGCATCTTGCCGTCAAGTAGACAAGTGAGGAGTTTTCCAATTAGGTATCTCAGCCCATTCTGAAAAACGACTGCACTTTATTTTTCAGCTATGATTTGTTTCCAAGCTTGCTTTGTGGTTTATCTAATCTTTCTTTTGAATTTGTGTAAAATTTAAAGCATCCCCATCAAATCGGGTTTCAACCTCACCCCAAGAAAACGTAAATACATATAATTAAACTTTGCTATTAATACTTAAACTTTGCTTCTTCTCATGTGTTTCTAACTAGAGAAGCTTTAGATTTCACATAAACCATAATAACTCTTCTAGCAGAAAATTGCTCACAGTTTTAAATATGAGTGAGAATCTCTTAAATAAAAAAAAGTTAATTTCATTTGTTAGAATTTCTTTCTGTATTTTGCTTTCCTGTTTTTTATTTTCTTAGCGCCTGAAAATTTCTCTTCCAATCAAGACTTACCCTTTGCCCTGCTACAGCTTCTTGTATTATACTTGTCCCAGTCAGTCTTGAAAAGCAAGACTGATTTTTTTTTTCATTTTGCTATTTTAAGCTACAACTGGCCACCATAGTCATATTTATGGGACTTTCTTAACATTAGAGATTTTTACCCTCTATCCTGTGCCTAGGTATATAAAGAACACAGAGGCCAGGGCTTAGTATCTGTCACTGAACATAGCATCCCGGATTTTTATTTTTCACCTGGTTACTGTTTGACTCTTTCATGTCTAGTTTGCTCTCATCTTCACTGAGTCACCTTTAAAAATAGTTTTCTAAGTGGAGCTACCCTGGTAGGATAAATATATATGTGTGTGTATGTTAGAATATATACAGGAGAAGTGTGTGTGTGCAATAGAAAACATATATATGTATGGATGTTTCATTCTGGATAAAGCACTCATTCACTATTCATTGAATCTAGATTGCCAGTACAATGATATGTGAGCTAAAAACTGAAGAAAAGATAGTAAACTAAATTCAAATCAAGAGAATATACAGATTCAAAATACTAATTCAAAGGGATTAGATAAATTCACAGAATCTTATAAGGATTTATGAAATGGGAGTTAAGGTTCAGGCGCCCCTTAGACTTTAGAAGTGGTCTTCATGGAAGGGACAGTTCTCCGCTATTTCACTTTCCTGGATCCACTGTAAGACACTGAAGTCTATGTTGTATTGTTCTAACCAGGTGTATTTTTCCTCATCTTTCATAGCACTAAATTAGCTTTGAGAATTATAAAATAAATCCACTAGCCCAGAAGGGTTGAAATGATACAAAATTCTTAAAACACTTATGACAAAATCTAATCAAAGTATATAGCACACGTGGAACCTCCAGAATGCTCCAAAATCTGGTTATGATGTGAAGTGAAAGAAGCCAGGCACAGAAAGACAAACTTTGCATGTTCTCTCTTATTTGTAGGAGCTAAAAATTAAAGTGATCAAACTCATGGAGATGGAGAGTAGAAGGATGGTTACCAGAGGCTGGAAGGAAAGTGAAGACATGGGGAGAAGCGGGGTGGTTAATGGATGCAAAAAAAACATAGAACGAATAAGATCTAGTACTTGATAGCACAACAGGGTGACTATAGTCAATAATAATTTAATTGTACATTTAAAAAGAACTAAAAGAGAGCCAAGCATGGTGGCTCACGCCTGTAATCCCAACACTTTGGGAGGCTGGGATTACTTAAAGATCAGGGATTCGAGACCAGCCTGGCCAACGTGGTGAAACCCTGAATCTACTAAAAATATAAAAATTAGCAAGGCCGTATGGTGAACACCTGTAGTCCCAGCTATTCAGGAGGCTGAGGCAGGAGAATCACTTGAAGCCAGGAGGTGGAGGTTGCAGTGAGCCAAGATCACACCACTACATTCCAGCCTGGGTGGCAAAAGCAAGACTCCACCTCAAAAAATAAAATAAAATAACTAAAAGTATAATTGGATTGTTTGGAACACAAGGAATAAACCTTTTAGGTGATGCATACCTCGTTACCCTGATGGGATTATTACACATTGTATGCCTGTATCAAAACATCTCATATACCCTATAAATATATACAAATACTATGTAGCCAGAAAAATTTAAAATTTTGTAAATCTCCAGAATTTGAAACTTTTCCAGCACAAACATGATGCTCAAAGGGAATGCTCATAGCAGCATTTTAGAATTTTGGATTTGGGATGCTCAACCTGTACATCAGGAAAAATCTGAAACCCCAAACACTTAGGGTCCCAAGCATTTCAGGTAAGGGATGCTCAGCCTGTAATACCATTCCCTTAATCTGTGCTCAGTTGTGGCAGTGAAAGAGTATCTCCACTATTTTCTGAGTTATAAGAATTTCCTGTTATATTTCTATGCTCTAAATTAACTATAATGGAGGAGTTGCACAGGTTAGGACTCTACTGTTAATTCAGAACACAACTATTCTAAAAGAGCAGTTGGTTATTATCACAATTTGATATTTTTCTGATACTGTGGAAATTAAAGAATATAGATGAAAATGTCATTTTTAAGAACTTAATGGGAAATTGCCTTTAAACTAAGGTCTGCATCTTTAATAAGACATATAGAGAAAAGAGCATGGAGCACTGAAATAGCCAAACTAAAGCTTAATTCGAGTTCTAATATGTTCAGACTCACTGAGGAAACTAGAGCAAGACACTTATCCTCTTAAGCTCCATAAAATGGAACTAATAATCACATGTGAAGAAGAAACAAACAAAAAAAAATCTACTCTGAGATGTCAGAGATGCTTAGCTCACTGTCCGGCATTATAAAAACCTACAATAAATGTTTATTTTCCCCCCATTTACTTGGGGTTTAAGAACTGGTGCTTTTCCTCTTCCTAAATATTCCCCACTTAAAGGGGACCCATGTTTACTTCCTCTCCCTCCCCCATTTTACTCATTACCCTGTTTGTTCTTCATTTAATTCAGTGATTTAATCTGTTTTGTTTAAAAACCCACATTTGGGTCAGGCACTGTGGTTCACGCCTGGAATCCCGGCACTTTGGGAGGCCAAGATGGCAGAATCGCTTGAGGCCAGGAAGTTGAGACCAGCCTGGGCAACATAGTGAGACCTCATCTCCAGGTTTGGTGGCATGCACCTGTGGTTTCAGCTACTCAGGTGGCTGAGGTGGTAGGATAGCTTGAACCTGGGAGGTCAAGGCTATGATGGACTAAGATCACACCACTGCATTCCAGCCTGAGTGACAGAGAAGAGCCTGTCTTAAACCAAAACAACCCACATCCACAGCACTTGGAAAAGTGCTGGAAGATAGTAGGGTCTCATTAAATATTGGTTGCCTGAATGAATTGGGCAATGTCATGTGTCTGTGCACTGGGTACATATCGGGGAATAAGACAGGGCCCCTGCCACTGAAGCTCAGAGTCTTGTGGGGGGAAATAGCAGTTAAACAACAAAGGACAATGAAGTGTGAAACATATTATAGAGAAAGAGAAGGGTCCTCTGACCTCTACCATGGGGATGTGGCCTCAGTCAGGGAAGAGACCTTCTTGAGTAAGTGATGAGTGACCCAAACCCTAGACCCTAACTGATGAGTGTTTGACTAATGACAGCTCCAGTCTCCCTTATTCACTTACCCCACATCCAAAAAAAACATTAATACCTTTGAAGCCACTGTTTCAGTGTACTCTCCTTCAATATATAGAGTCCACTGTTTCCTCATCTGTAAAATAAGGACAATAAAACTACCTGCCTCATAAAGCCAGTTTAGAACACTTAATGCTATATAAGAATTAGACACTATTTTAACAGTAAATACCACACAATAACAAACAGGTGGCTTCTTCATGGAGCAGATCTGAAAAGATGGATTATATGAATTTGGTTTGTTTAAACAAGTAAAATTTGGGGCCTTTGAACTATCTGGTATTATGATATTTATCAAAATCGGATCCTGTAGTTTGTAAAATATAACTTGATTTCTGAAATGTTGTGGTTGTGGTTAGAAAAATTTAAAAAGCTAGGGCTGAAGATAACTTCTGAACATCTCCAACTTCTCACTTACAGCTTTTACTTAACGGAAAGGGCAGTGTCCAAACAGAGGACCAGAGAGAAAACAAGAGGTAGAGAACCTTGCTTTGAGATTTCCCTGAATTTTTCCTTGAGGGCAGCTTTGTCCTACAGATTTTGCTGTCATATTCTATCTGCCCTGAGGAGGAAGCAGCTCTTCCTCATCTCAACTCATCCTAACAACAAATGCACCTCTAACTCCTAGCAGTTCACAGGCCCGGTTGTTGTCAGCTGCATCTCAGCCCATGCTGTTGTCCATTGTTTTGAGGTGAATGAAGTAGATCAGTTGTTTAAAACATTTTTAAACTAATTCAAGCCTGGATTCATTTTTAAGTGAAAGTTCTGAAATGTCTCCGTCTAAACATAGCATTGCCATTTTTAGTCTATACCTTTTGGGAACTGCTATCATCTTTTATTCCTTATTTACTGCAATCGTGTTAATTTTCTTATTTTTTTCAGTAATTGGCTTTGGTGCTATCTTGATGTTAACATAGAAAAGTTACAATTATTTTGTTCTGTTTCATTTTCAGGGCCCTAATTCAATCATGATTGTCCTTGTCATGCTGTTGAATATCGGGTTGGCCATTCTTTTTGTTCACTTTCTAACTTGATTGGAATTAGGACAGGTAAGAATCGCCTTAATTTCTATCTAAAATCATAGTTAATAACATTCTTTTCTCATGTTCAAATTTGCTATTTTTTTAACAATGACATATTGTCTTTCACTTTAATTTTGGCTACGCCTGAATGTGATTCAACATAGTTACTTAATGCTATAACTGTTTTGACCCTTCAGTGAAGTCATGACAACTAGTGGTGTTAGCCCACAGTTCTCTGCAGTGGTGCCGTCAGCCCTTTAAATGGCCGACCCCAGGCAGACTCAGACACAGGGAAGGAGGCTTGGAATTAGAATGGGATCGCGAGAGAGCTGAAACTCGGAAAATTCAGCCAGAGGACCTGTTCGGTTCCCCTGGGAATGCTTTGTGGCTTTGGGGTCCTCTGGGAGCTGAAGCACACAGCCATGTTGGAGAGCAAAACTTAATAATAATTCTTTTTTAAAATCTGCTGAAGCAGCCCCATCCGGCGAAGTTCTTGGCATTGGCTACTCCATCTGTCCTAGCAGAGTGTGACTAAACTGGAAATGTATGGAGCTGCATTTTTTTTTTTCTTTTTGATGGAAGTCAACAGCTGCCTTACTATTTTACCATCTGACGTTTTTAGTAGGGAGCTGGGGAAACGACTGCCCGAGGAATGCGGTCGGAGGATTGTGTTGCTGTGGACGTGGTTCCAACATTCACTCCTATCTCATTAGAAGAAATAGGTAGCAGCATCACTCACCAGTCTTATGCCATGACCTGCTGCTTTAACATCTCCTGGAATGTTCTGGGAGAGAACGTTTCGTTTGCTTGTGCACGACTCTGTTCATTTTTGCTGTTTATTTAAATATGATGTATAGTCATCTACCACCTGCAGTCCTGGCCGGATAAAATACACGTGTTGCATCTCAAGGAAAAGAAACAATAAAATGCTAGTGAAAATTGTGCTTATTTTGATAGCAATATACCATCTTTTATGTCATTTATTCTTCCTACACTTGTAAAAGGTTATCTTTAAAATTTAGCAATTTGAAGACACTATGCCTTCCTAAGAACTAATTTAATTTTAAATATTTTTAACATTACTGAGGTGAATTATTTATGTACTTAGAAAGTGCTAAATTTTAAAAGCTGAAAGACAACAGAATTCTAAGAAGTATAGTCCAAACGTTGCATGGATTGCAGTAATCAGTGTTTAAAGGATTCAGTTTCTTTGCTGACGTACTTTACAACCAAATAAAATCTTGTCGGTGGCTGTGTTAATTCCCATGAAAGTTAAGCAAGATGCTATTAATAAACTGCTCTGCTCTTTCTTGTTTTCTTTTTCCAACTTAAATGTCTGTTGAATACATTCAGGTAGAACATAAAGCCTCGTTCAATCACTGCCTCTCAGTTTTCTGCCTTTCCTGTTTTTCAAACTCCTTTTGTAATTTCATTTCAAATTTTATAGGCTTAGACATTTTTATTTCAAATATGTGTCTTTTGCAGTCTTTCGTCATTCTGACATTTCTGGGGTTTTGCTGTTTTACAATTTACCCTTTATTATTCAGAAGCATGCTTACGTAGAGAAACTAAATGGTCTTTATCAAAGTAATTACTTCAAAAGAAATCCGGGGAAGAAAGGTATCTATCTTATTAAATCTTTTTAAAACATTACATTGCAGGGGGGAGCTTCTCTGAAATATTTTCATGATTTGCATGGTTTCATCAGATTTTGTTTTTTACATATTAGCTACCTTTTCAATGCAGAAGAGACAGTTCACACAATTCCCTGGTTACCACAGATGTGCACTGAGTGGGCTGTCACCTGCAGGGTAGTAACCCAGTGATGTTTCTTGCAGAAGCGCAATATGTTGAAAATCCTGGGTGTGACCAATATGGAATAAAGAAGAAGGCAGAAAGAGAGCAAATGAAAAATTACAACTTGTATATTCATTTTTTACATTTTGCTTTGACTTTTAAATTTAGGAAAGTCCGTTTTTACCTAAGAACAAACGTTTAAAGTTCCTGTGTCAGTCTCAGTACTCTCACCGCCCCTCCTGAACCCCATAGCTCCTCATGCTAGGAAAGCTGGTTTTTAAAAAAATAATAATAAAATATTTAATCTTATTAAGTGTTTATTTAAAATGTGTAATGTTTTGGAAATAATGGGTAACAGATAGAGGATATGTTTATAAAGTGAGCATGTTGGTCCCATTTATAAATATATGTATGATTTATAAGCTTTTTTAAAACAAAGCTCAAATTGTTGGTATTTTTCTAAAATGTGCACAGCTGTATTTTACATGAAGGCTCTTTCTAATGGGTTGTTATACTGTACTCAACATTTTGGACAGCACATGAAGTCTGCCAATGTACTTAAACATGACTTTATTTAAAGTTTCTTGCTGTGAAAAAGAACTCCCTACCTGTGAGTTCCTTTATTTATAATCCTTGAAACCAAAATGTATAATGTACAGTTTTCACAACTGTATCTGCTCTAATTAAAAAAAGTTGGTTATTAATAAAGTGGAGGTGTGTTTTCTTTGTGAGTAAATTACTGTCTTGAATTATATGGAATGGTTTGGTGGTGGTGTTGAAAGAGATCTGCTGAAAAATTAACAGCAGAAATAGAAGGGGGGGAAATGCTCAAAGAAACCATGTGGCAGAATGTAGTTATACTGCTCCACCAATTGTTTCTACGTTTCTTTCATCCTGGACCTTTCAGATAATTTTGCAAAATAAGTTTCATTGCTCTGCTTAATGCCTTCATTAATTGGATTAGTGCCTTATCCAGAGTTTAAAGACTGCTCTTATTTTTAAAGAAAACATGAAGTAAATCTCCCTCCTACATGGGCACTTTTCAATTGATTAGAATTTTTTTTACCATTGTGCCCCAAATAAATTAATATGTTGCTGTGACCCCTGCCACTTAGGTGCATTCCTGGAAGGTTAAGCACAATATGGGTTGAATAAACCCGCCACCACCAGGGCTTCCAGCCACTGTGCTCCCTTTGAAATCATCCAAGGTACCTGCCTAAGCTGCTGGCTCAACACATAGGGAAGCCACCTGTGCACTATGATAAAAGGACATCTCCAAAACAGCTTCCCAGGGAGCTGCCATGGAGATTTTAAATTCCCAGATTCATCACCCCTGTTGACGGCTAAGATATTGGAGCCCCTTATATAAATAATGCACAGAGTTATCACCTCAAGGGCTGAACAGATTACTCAACTTCAGTAATTAATCTCCTAGCAAATCCTAAAGGAAGAGAATGCAGAACAGACTTTGGAAGCAGGGAAGGGAAGCACAAGGTGCTAGAGAGATAGTTGATTCCAGATTCGTGTCCAAGCCACACATTTGGAGCACTGATGCCAAAGCTAGGGTGAAGCTTGTGTGGTTGGGAAGTCTGGAAAATATTCTACATGCTCTTTTAATTCAATAACTGTTTCTCAAAAGTTGTGGCTAGCAGGCTCCCCAGGCATACCCTCCCTGCCATTTGCAGCTCTCCTGCCATGCTTCAGAAAGTTACATGGCCACATCTTCCCAACTTAATAGATGGCTGTAGACGTGGCATATTCTGCTAGTACAGTTTAACAGTTCATCAGACTGTGTTTGGTTACTCCAGGTGTAAGAATTTTATGTTCTGACAGTTTGCTCTCACCCCAAAGGTGCTGAAATGCAATGGCCTCTATAGGGGTCTGGTTTATAGGAATAGGAGAAAATAGCAAAGATAGAGAAGACAATGAATACTGGTGAATGTTGTCAATATAGATGAAATTCTGGCTTTGGTCATGATTGATTGTGGATCCTTCTCTAATCCATGCCCTTGGTTTCCTCATCTGTAAGTGGGTATAGTCACAGCACTGGTCTCACAGGGTGATGATGAGAATGAAATGACCTTATTTATGTTAAATGTTTATACTATAGTGCCTGGCACATAGTAAATGCCTTGTATATGTGTTTAACTGATTGAAAGAAGTGGGGATAAAATTATTGAATTCCTATTTGTGTCTCAGACACACTGAAAAATATGGTAAGACTCCATTCTAAGGGTCTTTTTATAATGGCTAATTAGGTCATGGGTTATGGGATGTCCTTGCTTTAGTGGTGACACGTGAGTCTTTCTTGCTGGGAAAATTAAAGGCCACACCTACGGAGTTCCTTCTCTGTGCTAACAAGTGTTTTCCAGTATAGGAGAATACGAGACATTTGCTTTAAAAAGAGCTTTCACATCAGTGTCTCATTGGATTCTTACAATCTCCCTGTGAAAGTTTTCCTGCAGTTAAATGACTTGTACAAGATCACGTAGCCATAAAATCATAAAAATCTGTATCAGAGTCCCAGATCTGATACTAAATCCTGTGCTTTTTCATTTCACATATTGGCTAGCATTATTCCACACTGCCACCCGTCACCCATGAGGATGTGATAGCAAATACCATGAATCCAGGGTAGCAGTGTGGGTTGAATGAGCCCATTTCAATCATATGCTCCATTTCAATCATATGCCTCTAAGTTGATATTACTATAGCAGAGTCTTTCAGAAGTTCTGAATAGTGTGTGTTTACAATCCTACTGTTTCATCACTTTTAGCAAGGTATTTATATAGTAATGTATTTGAACCTTATAAAATATGAACTATCATTACCAAAAGTTAACATTTATGTAATGGTGTTTTAAAGAGGCATGTTATATATGAACTTGGTATCTGTGTTTGAACTTGAGCTCAATAATTAACATGGAAGTTGCACATAAAACCTAGAAGACATAAAAAGGTTTGGACCAATGTTGTGGTATTCTTTTGATACCTTATGTCAATATTCCATAAATCAGGCGTCCCCAAACTTTTTACACCGGGGGCCAGTTCACTGTCCCTCAGACCGCTGGAGGGCCACCACATACTGTGCTCCTCTCACTGACCACCAATGAAAGAGGTGCCCCTTCCTGAAGTGCGGCGGGGGGCCGGATAAATGGCCTCAGGGGGCCGCATGCAGCCCACGGGTGGCCGTAGTTTGGGGACGCCTGCCATAAACCTTCCCTGGTATTCTCTTGAATCTGAAGTCTGATTTAGATAAGCCATCATGGAATTAACACAAAAGTGAGGCCCTGAAATTTGTTCAGCTGGTGGTTGATAAAGTTGTTTGCCTAGTGTGGTAAAGAGTATATCAATCCTTGAATGGAGGCAGAGATGAACAGAAGATTATAACACTGATGTATACATTCTTCCTTGTCCCCTGCCTCGACCCAAGCAAACACGTTCATAAAATGTCAAAAACAGTATTAAACATGTGCACTGGGATTCATGACGATATTTGCTTATGGGAAAACAGAGAAGGTCTTTGGTTTCAGGAATGTATATGTCACAGCCTTGCCACTTACAACATATATTTGGAAGAAAAGAGTCATAAATATCACATCATCTGCACATAAAAGCGGAAGCAAAGGTCAGGAGAAGCCAAAGATTATCTAATTATTTTATGGACATGATTAATTATTTTATGTACATTTTTTTAACAACTGCTTCCGACCAGTAAAGCAAGTACCTACCTAGAAGTCACAAAGCTGCTTTGCAAGTGGATAAAGCCCCCAAGGAGGTGCTCAAACATAGAATTGCTATAGCACCAACAGGTGGTAGAATCCATGGCCTAAGAACTACAGAGAAATCATAAAAGTAGTTTTGGCCGGATGCAGTGGCTCACGCCTGTAATTTCAGCACTTTGGAAGGCTGAGGTGGGCTGATCACCTGAGATCAGGAGTTCCAGACCAGCTTAACCAATACGAAGAAACCCCATCTCTACTACTAAAAATACAAAATTAGCCAGGCGTGGTGGCACATGCCTGCAATCCCAGCTACTTGGGAGGCTGAGGCAGGAGAATTGCTTGAACCAGGGAGGCAGAGGTTGGGGTGAGCCAAGATTGCACCATTGCACTCCAGCCTGGGCAACAAGAGAGAAACTCCATCTCAAAAAAAAAAAAAAAAAAAAAAAAAAAAAAAGGCAGTTTTACATCATATAATTGGACTAAATAAAAAGTCAAGATTGGAAACATTCTAATTCATACATTATCAAAAAGGAAGTGTGTTTTTATCCACTGAAACAAAGCAAGAATTTATAAAATCTCACATAATAGAGCACCAAAGAATGAGATATTTAAGTGCTCAAAATAAGGTTTGATGTTACCTACATTCAATTTGTCATGATACAGCAAGTAAAGTGGGGAATTCAGCATAATTTTTGTGTCTCGGTATCAGCTTTATTCCATTCAAATTATTGTGTATAGAAATCGTTTTCCATTTTTACTAATAATAGTGTTCATTTTTTTCTTCACAAAATAGTATTACTAATCTAAAATGCCCTGGCAGACTATATTTGGGAGTTTTCGTTGGTTCACTCAAATCATCAACAATTCACGTGGATTTGTTTTGACATTCTAAAGACTACCTGAGTAGGTTATAAAGGAAGCATTCCAAACCTTTCTGCTCCCCTGCTGCAAGCTTTCAGGAATGTTAACACTGCCTGTGTGTTCAGTACAGTTTAGTCCCTTAGTCCCCTGCAAAACCTGAGCTCTCCCTCTCACCTGACCACAGCTCCTTGTCAGCATCGCCACACCAGTAGCATGCTCAGACTCAGAGTTCACCAGTGAAGTTTAACAGACGGGTCAGATTAGTTGAGGATATTAATTCAGTTAGAGAAGTGTAAGAATAACTGAATTTGGGTATGCTGATCTTCCTTTCTCAGATGTCATTTTTATGAAACCAAGCATACACTTCCTTTTGAGTCGTCCCCATATGGTAGGCCAGCACCAAACACCATGTGTCCAATTCTGGTACACTCTAAGGATTGTTTTGGTGTCAAAATGGGAACAATAATATCTGCCTCATAGTGTTTTTAATATCAAATTAGGTAACTTCAGTAAACTCCTCAGCACATAGTAGACTCTCAACATAGAGTAGATACTATTATGTTAATAATGTCAGTTTTAGCTTTTTTTTTTTTTTTTTTTTTTTTTTTCTGAGATGGAGTTTCGCTTTTGTCACCCAGGCTGGAGTGCAATGGCATGATCTCGGCTCACAGCAGCCTCCACTTCCCAGGTTCAAGTGATTCTCCTACCTCAGCCTCCCAAGTAGCTAGGATTACAGGTGCCCACCACCACACCCAGCTAATTTTTTGTACTTTTAGAAGAGACAGAGTTTCTCCATGTTGGCCAGGCTAGTCTCAAACTCCTGACCTCAGGTGATCCATCCGCCTTGGCCTCCCAAAGCCCTGGGATTACAGGCGTGAGCCACTGTACCTGGCCTTATTAGCAATTTTTACTTATTTCTACATCAAACATTTATTATATGCTTAATTGATACTTCTTTAAATTCACTGAAATAAAAAATCCTACAAGCCTTAGGTCATTAAGCATCAGGTCCCGCCCTAAGAAATGTACTCTACATACAGAATCAAATTGTAATTCACAAAATTAAATGGGTTTCTTCTCCAAAGCAAAGGGCAGATAAAATTCAAAGATTTTTAATGCT